TGTCTCAAAAGACCTAGTGAACTGATGATATGGTGCGGTGCCTTTCATTTGTACTTAACGTTTTCCTTTAAACAACTTTTTCTCAATAACCAAATAATTCCTAGAATCATATTTGGTTGGAAGGTTTCTTGGATAAAGCTCAGTCTACTTTGTGAAAAGAAATTATATTCAAGTTCACAATGATCATATTTGTTGAAACCTTCAAACAACTTCTTATCATTGAACATGAATGCCATTGATGTGAAATGTTCATGTATTTGTGAAAAGCTTGTATAGCAGGTGGATATGGCAAGTCCATTAGGCCTTTTGTCTAAGGAGTTCTTGTAGAGAAAGGGAGACTGATTAAATAGAGTTCAATATCTATTTATTTTTAAGTGTTGTAAAAAATCACTGATGACTGCTCATGCTTTTGCATTATAAATTAATTGCTATTTGTCAGTAGTCAGCCATTATTTTATTGAACTTGTTTTTGTAGGAGAAATAAATATGTTTATTACATTTCTTCCTGTGTTTTCGACAACACCTAGATATCTCCTGTTTTTTCTTACTAAAAGATTTACTTTCTCAAACTTCAAGGAAAACAATAAATACTGAACCAATTTATACAAACCCTATTTAAAAACCTTGAAATGTGCATTTAGCAAAGTCCTTCAAGGAAACAATGTCAAACAGTACAAGCTGAAGAATCTGTACTCAGTATAAAGAGATATATAAACACTCTTAGACACTCGTACAGCTTTTTAGTCTTTTAACACTCAGTCTATCACTCTCATACAAATATTGATTTTCTCATATATATTTTTGAAAATGAGATAGGGTTATTCCACGTAAAATACACAAAAAGGGGTAAAACGTGAGGCTCTGATGTCTTGTTGTGACCCAGATTATGGAATATCCCAATTACACTTACAAACGTAAGAATATTTCTTCTCATATTTTCATTCTTAAATGTCTTCCCTGATCTCAGGAGAGCACAATGTTCAGGGAATTTGAAAAAGTCAACAATCTTAACCAGTATTGGAATTAAATAGTTGAATCATACCTAATCAAGTGATGAAATGGATGAATTAATTGTCTCAGCTGTCTCAACTCTCTATATACATTTGCCTTGAAAAATATTCGAGGTTTTTTGTAATGAGGAAAAAGATGCAAAAAACAGTATACAGTTCATATATTTAAATTGAAATCAACATTAGTTTTCTGTTATTTTAATTTGTTTTTTATAAGTGTTTTCTGCAAGAAGTAAAAGCGTTGATACCTTTAAGGATTATTGGGCGTGCAAGGTTGTACCAACCCAGCAGACATTTAATATCATACATCGGGTATACATTGAGGGTATTGCCTTAGACATACCATCATCACACAAGTAGGAATGAGAAAATGAATAATACTACCTCTTTGTTGGAAAATATATCATATCTTATAGATCATATGTAATATATCATATCTTATAGATCATATGTAATATATCATATCTTATAGATCATATGTAATATATCATATCTTATAGATCATATGTAATATATCATATCTTATAGATCATATGTAATATATCATATCTAATCATAGTAATATATCTGTAATATATCATAATAGATCAAATAAGTAATATATCATATCTTATAGATCATATGATATTTCATATGTAATATATATATATCATATCTAATCAGCCTCTGTAATTGTCAAAGAGATCAAATAAGAATTACAATTAGTAAAAGTTTGATGTATGTTTATAATATCTTGTTAGAATAACTAAACAATGAATATTTGTCTGCAAAGCTTTGTCACCTACATAGATCATAAATATCATTGTTATAGTTATCAAGTTGATGCTCATATTTTTTTGCACATATTGCTGCCTTTTGCAGATTCTAACCTGATATATTCTAATATGAGCTATTTATAGCCAACTTCTCTCAGTTGGGGCAAATAATTAGAGTTCTTTCTAGTGTGATTTATTGTACAGGGTCATTGTTGTGTCAGTGTATCAAAATGTTTACAGTAATATTACTTTTATCGAAAGAAACAAATAGATCACATAAGATGTTTGATCCACTTATTATAGAAAGTATTAAATGACCTTATGAATTTATATAATGATGCAGCTGCTTTTCCTTATAGAACCAGCAACCCCATTAGGGTTTACAGCTACTGATGTGGATGGTCCTCAGATAACATTATCCTGGACCAATGCTATTGGTATCAGAACTAGGTATGATGTCACAACTAGCCCAGTGCTAAGCCCTAGCATTACAACAAGCAACAGTATAACCTATAGTAGTGGTGTAACAGATGGACAACGGTACAACATCACTATTACCACTGTCAGTGGTACTGAGCTGAGTGATCCACTGGAGGCTACATTCAGGACAGTATCGAAAAGTAAGTAATGCAAAGGTGTCGGGAAGAGATAAGGAGAACTTCAGTCTGAAGTATGACTAATCTGTGGATAGTCAAAAATGTTTGCAATTGTAGTGTTTGTCTGTCAAATGTTTGAAGAATTAAAGCCCTTATAGCAGAACTAGTAGGAGTTTTGAGTGCGACATTTCGATGACTATATGGTCACCTTCATCAGACAAATTAGGGACAGGGGTAACATTAACATTAGTTTATATAGGAAAAATACATTTTTTAATATGATTTGTTTAGTTTCCTTTGGAAAATAGTTCAAACTTGGTTAGAATGGTTAATATAGGATGAGTTTTATGATATTCACACATTGCCCAAGGCTGACACTCAGGGGTAAATTGGTGATGCCAAAAGGGGGCAAACTGACTCATATATCAAAAATTTGCATAATACCTAGACATGGTAGAATTAACAGAGAAAAATTAAATTTTTCAGTGTAATTTCTTTTAATGCACAAATGATTAGAAGTCTTAACATTGTATGGCAGCTAATGTTATGTCTAGTTTACATTTGCATTACATATACAACGTAGTTCAAATGATCTTACATTGTAAACAAGCTAGACTATTTCTAGGACATGTGCTGGAGAGACTTTCTCAAATTTAGTATATAAGTTCCCCTTGGCCTCTTGTGAATGTTTGATTTTGTGACAGATCAATAAAATACAAAATGGTAGACAGTCACCCATCTTGGTTTTGTGGATTTGGCAATTCAAGTTTACTTATCACTAATATTGCTATTTCTTGAGAGGAATTTCCAAATCTCATATAATTAAGCACACATTTTATTTCAAACTTTAGAAGTAACATATCAAGAACAAACAATGGTGGGCACCCAAGATCCCTCTAAGATATTTTGTGACAATGGAAGATTGTTATCAGTATTTCTTTAAAAGGACAGGATCTTTCTCAAATTTCATATGCAGGTCCCCCTAGTTGTTCCCTTTTGGTTATGGGACTGTTCAGAAAACATAATGGTTTACTTGTGACAGTCTTTGATTTGGCAGCTTGAGATTATAATCACTGATTTTGAATTCCATATCATAGAGAGCAGAAACAGAAGAAAGAAGAGAAAAACAGAAAAGGGCCTAATTAAGATAACAAATAAATATCAGACAGCGAGGGCCAAATGTATCAACAATGCTACAATATATCCTTATATATTATTTACAACATAATTCAGTAGCTTAGAAAGTTTTAGTAAATTTTATCAGTGGGTGCCAAAGTTTTATAGATTTTATAATTTTCTTGTCAAGAATTATTCAGTCTTTGTGATCTTTGAATGACATGTTTTCTACATTGCAGCCCCAGATCCTCCTACAACACCTACTTGTTCTGAAACCACAGATATGAGTATCACTTTGACCTGGACAGCTCCATCCTTCCCAAAGGGAGATGTTCAATACTACGTGGTTAACAGTGTAACAACTAATGCTATGTTTACTACCACATCAAGTCTAGCTCAGTATACAGTAACAGGCCTACAGCCAGGTAAGATAATGTCTAGATCAATACTTTTCTTTCGGTATACAGTGGAGGGCCTACAGCCAGGTAAGATAATGTCCAGATCAACACTTTTCTTTCAGTATACAGTGGAGGGCCTACAGCCAGGTAAGATAATGTCCAGATCAATGATATTTTATTGTACAGTGGAGGGCCTACAGCCAGGTAAGGTAATGTCCAGATCAATGATATTTTATTGTACAGTGGAGGGCCTACAGCCAGGTAAGATAATGTCCAGATCAATGATATTTTATTGTACAGTGGAGGGCCTACAGCCAGGTAAGATAATGTCCAGATCAATGATATTTTATTGTACAGTGGAGGGCCTACAGCCAGGTAAGATAATGTCCAGATCAATGATATTTTATGATATTTCAGTGTACATTGTGAGGGCCTACAGCCAGGTAAGATAATGTCCAGATCAATGATATTTTATTGTACAGTGGAGGGCCTACAGCCAGGTAAGATAATGTCCAGATCAATGATATTTTATTGTACAGTGGAGGGCCTACAGCCAGGTAAGATAATGTCCAGATCAATGATATTTTATTGTACAGTGGAGGGCCTACAGCCAGGTAAGATAATGTCCAGATCAATGATATTTTATTGTACAGTGGAGGGCCTACAGCCAGGTAAGATAATGTCCAGATCAATGATATTTTATTGTACAGTGGAGGGCCTACAGCCAGGTAAGATAATGTCCAGATCAATGATATTTTATTGTACAGTGGAGGGCCTACAGCCAGGTAAGATAATGTCCAGATCAATGATATTTCAGTGTACAGTGGAGGGCCTACAGCCAGGTAAGATAATGTCCAGATCAATGATATTTTATTGTACAGTGGAGGGCCTACAGCCAGGTAAGATAATGTCCAGATCAATGATATTTCAGTATACAGTGGAGGGCCTACAGCCAGGTAAGATAATGTCCAGATCAATGATATTTTATTGTACAGTGGAGGGCCTACAGCCAGGTAAGATAATGTCCAGATCAATGATATTTCAGTGTACAGTGAAGGGCCTTCAGCCAGGTAAGATAATGTCCAGATCAATGATATTTTATTGTACAGTGGAGGGCCTACAGCCAGGTAAGATAATGTCCAGATCAATGATATTTTATTGTACAGTGGAGGGCCTACAGCCAGGTAAGATAATGTCCAGATCAATGATATTTTATTGTACAGTGGAGGGCCTACAGCCAGGTAAGATAATGTCCAGATCAATGATATTTTATTGTACAGTGGAGGGCCTACAGCCAGGTAAGATAATGTCCAGATCAATGATATTTTATTGTACAGTGGAGGGCCTACAGCCAGGTAAGATAATGTCCAGATCAATGATATTTTATTGTACAGTGGAGGGCCTACAGCCAGGTAAGATAATGTCCAGATCAATGATATTTTATTGTACAGTGGAGGGCCTACAGCCAGGTAAGATAATGTCCAGATCAATGATATTTCAGTGTACAGTGGAGGGCCTACAGCCAGGTAAGATAATGTCCAGATCAATGATATTTTATTGTACAGTGGAGGGCCTACAGCCAGGTAAGATAATGTCCAGATCAATGATATTTCAGTATACAGTGGAGGGCCTACAGCCAGGTAAGATAATGTCCAGATCAATGATATTTTATTGTACAGTGGAGGGCCTACAGCCAGGTAAGATAATGTCCAGATCAATGATATTTCATTGTACAGTGGAGGGCCTACAGCCAGGTAAGATAATGTCCAGATCAATGATATTTCAGTGTACAGTGGAGGGCCTACAGCCAGGTAAGATAATGTCCAGATCAATGATATTTTATTGTACAGTGGAGGGCCTACAGCCAGGTAAGATAATGTCCAGATCAATAATATTTCAGTATACACTGACGGGCCTACAGCCAGGTAAGATACTGTCCAGATCAATGATATTTCAGTATACTCTAAAGAATGCTTTGATGATTTAACCATCTGGATGTAGTGTTGCGAGTTAACCTGTGGTGTGTGAAAATTTTCATCGCTTTCATTGAGAAAACAAAATTTGCACTAAAAATATTTCAATATAACCTGTCAGAACAAATCTACAGCAGATGTGAAAGGATGAAGAATGCCTCAAATATTGTTTTCATCTATATTCGAAAATTTTCACTGACCACTTGTTAAAACCATGCTTTAAGCAAGTGAGGCCTGGTAATAAATTGCACTTCCTGACTTGGTCTAGTTTGTTGTGGTAGGTATACACATCGAACTTCCCCAGCAGTTAGACCACTTTTTGGATGGAATTATTTATTACTACCCTTTGATCAGATTGAAACAGAAATGTGCCTATATTTAATCCTCACACCTTTTGCAACCTTGTGAGGCCAGATTTTACACAATATAATGGCACCATCTTTATACTGCAATAAGTTCAAAGAGCCAACATTTCACTTTCATTTTTATGATGTTTTGTCCTTTACAGCAACTAACTATGCATTCCGTGTGGCTACAGTGAATGATGCTGTGTCACCCCATTCCAACCAGAGTTCATTTAGCACACAGGTGGGATGTTGGACCAGAGCTGCTAGTGAGTAGAATCATATTATTCATTCAATCTTTTAGTCACTGCTGTACAGATTATGTAACCTTTGTTATGTCAAGTCTCATTATACACACAAGATAATGTTAGTCCATCTCATGTACAATGATATAATGTTGGTTGTAAAAAAGTATTACAGATGAGATATTACAGTGAAAAATATATAAACATTTGTCACATTTATTTGTTGTAATGTTCGATTATAATCAGTTACATTTTGATTTTATACTTCTTTTTTTTCAAATTAACATCAAACAGCACCACCTTTATAAATCATTATATTGTAACAGCTTGTGGGGGCTGGTAGGGGACATGTATTATTTAAGCAATACTCTGTGTTTTTGTCTTGTTATAACAATGTAATTGTAATAAAACCTAGAAACAGCACACAAATTTTAGGGAAGAAAAGCATTGTAAAAGCAGTTACATGCTACAACAAATGATAATTTAATATTATTATTAAATTATAGTTTATATACAATAAGTTCTCCTTGCTAGCTGACATAGCAATTTTCAATTAAAATTTTCATTATGTATTAGTGTTAGTGATTTTCTTTGCCCTGCATGCATTATAATTTAGTTTATTTATGTATGCTAATGAGTTTTGGTTGATGCTAATTAATTGACCAATCAGCGTTCTCGGGGAGGATGCCCTGTTAGGGATCTGAAGGCCCCGCAGCATATAGTTTCTGAGTTTTTGGTGGAGGCATTTGTTTGTGAAATTTGTGCATTCCCACCCACCGTCCCCGGCTACACCATTGGTTTTGTTTTATACTCGTGTATTTTTTGTTTTAGTTTCATGTGCAACAGTTACAAGATAACCATATTTTTATGTATAATGGGCTACTCACTCTTAGTAACTTAAGGGGGGGGGGGGGGGGGTTGGGGTATTTTCTGCATTTATCCGTTTCTTATTAATATTTGTTTTTACCTGCGTGCTATCACTCTATTAAACATGCGTTCATTTTTTGGCACTTAATTCTTGGGGAATTTTACCCCCAATTCATAATAATAGAATATTCCCAATTTGTTTCAGCTTCTCTCATATCGTTGAGGGTCTAGCTAACATTTCCAGCTTCTCTCATATCGTTGAGGGTCTAGCTGGTGGTGAATATTCTATTTATAATGCTGTTTTCTAGGGCCACTTGCAGAGTCTAGTAGCTTCTCTGGTATCGTCCAGGGTCTAGTAACCTCTTTGTAGGGACTCTTAATCTAGCTCTGAAACAGCTCAGTCTTATTTTAAGTTATAATTTTTCTAGTAGTTAATAGTGATTATGAATAGAGTGAGTAGCCCCTGTTACGCCAAACCGTAGCTTGTCTATTTTCTTTAGTGTAATAAACATTTAACTGTTCTTGTGCGTTCTTGTTGTATATAAATGCAATATTAAAACTGACTCTAGATACTGACTTTCCAAATAATGTACATCAGTGAGTGCAGAACTGGAGCCACAGTAAGATCATACTGCAGTCTGGAAACTGGTCTGTAATCACAAAACAGTCAATTAATATCACACTTTCTTCTGTAGCAATTTCTAATTGTGTTTCTGTCGGCAGAATGGGGATTCACCTATATGTTACATTCAACAGCACAATCGCTGATCTAGTCTCTATGCAAATTTGAATGTTTCCCATACTGAGAAAATAATAGTTCCCACACAGTCTGATATCTCAAACAAGTATGTATTATCATCCATTGAGTTCAGGATGTTGACAAATCCTCATTCATTTACTGTTTCCAATTCAGCATTAGTGAGAAAAAAAGGAAATATTCCCAAAATCGTCACACACAGTATTTGTATGTTGTGTTCCTTCACAATATAAAGTTCACTTAGAATATAATCTTTATATCAAAACCTTGAAAAAAATGTTCTTTTTTAGCTCACCTGGTCTGAAGAAAGTTAATCCTTAAGTTAACACACTGTGTTAAAAGGCAATTTTTAAGGGACTTAAAAGGGACATCTGTGGCATGTAGATCCCCTAAACAAAGGATAAAATTAGTCCCATTAACAGAAGTTTCAACCCTCTAATAGTGATTCTCATTAACATATATTGCAATTTTTAACTGCTCTGTATATTTTCTGTTTTACAGTGTCACAAGAACCAAATACCTTAATTGTATCACAGGAACAGAGTCGACAGTTCACCCTTAACTGGACGAAACCTTCCATTACCAATGGCAATCTAAACGGATACAGACTGACAGTGTTTGAGGGGAGCACGTGTGTCCAAGAAGTCATCTTCAAATGTGAAACCTGTACAGGGGTAATGTAGATTTCTTATTGTATCTGTAATATATACCCAGTCTGATCTGGTACAGAAAATTGTGTGTGCTGTAGTAGGAATATAATAATTAGTTGTGTTACGATGATTACATATGTGAAGCAGTAAGTATTTTATTGTAGCCAGTATGGTTAATTGGCAATTTTGTAAGTCGTTGTGCACTGTATGCATTCTGCTGTGTGTAAACTTTCCATTCAAACAACTTCTTCTCTATAACCAAAAGGCTGAGGGTGCTGATATTAGGCCTGTGGCATGCTGGGGTGACAGACTACCAATTTACTTCAAATTAATGACCTCGACCAACTTTCAAGGTCACAAGGGTCAAATATGATAAAATCTTATAATGGCTTCTTCTTACTAACTTAAGTCCTCAGCATGCTGATATTAGGTCTTTAGTATCTTGAGAGGTAGGACTATTAAATTTGTTCAAAGGAATTACTTTTGCCCACTTTCAATGACAGGGGTCAAACATGTTTAAAATCTTTAAACAATTTCTTCTCAATAATCAAAAGCTGCAGTATGGTGATATTGGGCCTGTAGCATGCTGGGATGAAAGGCCACCAAGTCTAATTAAAATAAATGATGTTAACCAACTTTCAAGGTCACAGGTGTCATAAGTGTTCAAATCTGCCACAACTTCTCAGTAACCGAAAGGCTAAGGCTGCTGATATGTTGGTTCTGTAACATAATTGGATGAAGGATTAACAAATTTATCCAAATGCTTGACCTTGGCCCTTTTTTAAAGAATTAAAAGTTTCCTCTTTTAACAAACAATAGGTCCTGGGTCAGCTGTGAAATAGCTTCAATTTTTGTATTCCTCTTCATTATGTAATTTACAAATCCCCCAAACATTTTTACTTCAGTTTCACAGACTCTGGTTTTACCATTTAACAGTCAATATGTTTGTTGTCCATAACAAATTCCTTGTTAAATACTTGGTCAATTTCAGTGACTTTCGGGAAATTGATGATTTTGCTGAAATTTCTTATGGAACTTGTTTGCTCATATTCAAGGTTTGGATGTCTGTAATTTTATATAATAGCTCTTGAAGTTTGGACAGCTGCCGACCAAAGTTTCACTAAGTAAACAAGCAATAACATGAATATACTGTTCTGTATTCCAGTTTACAAGTTTTGTACATACAAGTTCATGCCAACTGACAGCCAAACAATCAGTGGTCATTCCGCCTGCAGACATAGAAGGCTACACTTACACTGTGGAGAACCTCAATCCATATATCAACTACACTATTCATGTGTTGGGTGTTAATGCAGCAGGGGATGGTCACCCTAATATAATGTATGGCATGACAAAACAGGAAGGTAAGACTAGCACCAGGTTGTCTTGTTAAGTAACTGTAAGAATTCATCGTGCAATTGTTGTTACATTTCAAGATGTTATGACCTATATAAATCCACAATTTAAAAATATTCTTAGATATATCCTAAACGTATGATTTCAATAAAAGTCTGCCTCACCAATTTGTAAAAAATTCCATTTTATTTCCTTCCAGTCAATAAAACAGTGAACTGTTAACTGCTGAAGGACTGTTTAGCTTATGGATATTGTCATTGACTGTGGCCATATTAACTAAGCATAAATAAAATTATGAAGTGAATTCATTATTTTTGATAAATTTAATAGCTTTGCAGAGTCATCATTATCAAACTTTTTGAGAAAATATATAGCTATGCATTAAAATTTACTGGAGTGAAAACAAAAATTAATATCTGTGAAAACAAATTGGTTTAAAATATATCTGGGACAATTTGTCAGTATTTTCTTATGCAAGCTGAATAGCGAGGTCAATATTTTTGAAATGTGTATATAGTATACAAGTTTTATCTTCTTATGTCAGTGGTTTGATACTGTAATAGGAGTTATTCCCCTTTGATTTGACATCATGTTTTAGATGAATGAGAATATAAACACTGACAGGAAATTTATGGAATGTTTGATTGTCAGAAAGGAGTAATTTGTCTCGCCACTATGAAGGAGCAGAAGTGAAACTACAGTGTCACTGATTTGTCATGGCTCGCACCAACCACAATAAGTTAATTGTCTTTAGATCATTATTCTTTATTGTTTTTGGACATTTTAGTAAGACAAAGAGTTACAGAATACAAGACAACATTCCACAGATTTCTATTTATCACATATATAACTTGTGTTCTTCTCTAGTTCCACAGAATCCCACTGCTTTGACAGCTGAGGTTTTGAGTAGTACAGAAATACGTGTGTCTTGGGCCATCAGTGATCCAGAGCCTGGACCGACCAGTTATACCTTGTATATAATACCAGAATCACCAGAGCAAATTAAAACTATAACCATACAAGGTGATTAATTATCAATTATGGACCTTTGATGAAGTCAATATCGTATGTGTTATATAGAAAATTATTGACCGAAGTAGAAACATTATGAAAATACCTCACTCTACCTACACTGTATATAATGTCAGAACCATCAACTTGATCAGACACATTGCCAGAACACTGAAAATCGTCAGTGAGATAAGGCCAGGTGATAAGAGTCAGGCAGAAGGAAAACCTGTAACATTTACTATTTTACAATATAAATGTCTGGGTAGTAATTCTATATGGTTGACTCATCAGTCAGTTTAGTCTGTTGAAAAATTTTATATGTGTGTAAGTGTCTTAGTCATCATTGCGCTAGAAGATAACTTGGGCTGTAACAAGTACCCGGGTCACCTGTTTCAGATTGGTTTCAACCCCGATCAGATTGGAAATGTGTACCCATTTATCTGAGTCAGTATCACATAGTACTATTGTTAAGTTCACTGTAAAATGTTTTCAAGTACCTCTATGCTCTTTGTTGATGATTGTTGTTAAGAAACAATGGTTAATATGCACGTAAGCAAATATATCTGATGTATGAACAGCTACTTTGTTGCACTGACGGTTGACACTTTCTCATGGCCATGAAACGTGCAACAGCCTTGACCTAACACTAGGAATTCCTCAATATACACAAGGTATACATGCACATTCAAGGCATGTTAAATGGATATTCAACATGGCTTCCTAGATTAAATCGCATGATAATTTTAATTCTACAAAGTCTGAAAACAGATTGTAGCAGTTATTTTCCTGACATAGTCGATAATATCCAGACTACCATGTATGTCTTAATCATGTTGGTTAACCGATGATACTTGAACAATTGGCATTCATCACCAATACCATCCTTTCTTGAATTTGTGGTGAACATTTTACTAAAACTTGCAGGTATCCGGGTATGGGTCAGGTTGCAATGATTTAGTACCCAGGGCAAAATTTGTGTACCTGTGACAGCCCTTAAAATAACATGTGATTTTCTAAATAGTTATGCACGCATAAATAAAAAGATAATTCAGACATGTCTAAGGTATTCATAAAACAATAAATAGACATACACTTATGCATCCTCACATTTGTTGTTTGTTGTCAAGGATTCTCCACCAGGACGTACAATGTGACAAGCTTACAGGAGTACAGAATTTACCAGTTCAATCTGACAGCCTCTACTGTATTGGGGACAGCTGTATTCCAACAGTCATTACCAAGCGCCAAAACAAATGCTGCAGGTATGGTTTGATTTTCAATTATGTGAGCCAGAATCTAAATTCAGTAAGTGACTAACTCCCTCCTTCCAAAACTCGTTATCTTAGTGGAGTTATTTAGTTGCTTGCTGTGAAAAGTCTAGTCTATGTATGGTGCTACTTAAAAATTTTGCATTTAGATGTGTCACTCAAACAATTTAAGTCTGATGTAAACCAAATTTGGTATATATAGCTGGATCATGTAGTGGACATTTCAACACATCTATCAATTATGAAATATTTTGCAGGTTTTATGATAAAGTAACTCTAAAAGTTAGAGATGGAAACATAAAAAAGGAATGTTTTTTTGCCTTCACTATTAAATCATCCTGAACTGTTTCTATCATTTCATAACTGTTTCTACTACTAGGACAGCTGTTATATCATACTGTATATAGAGCTTTATAGTCAAATGACTGCTACGGTCCATGGACCATCTGTTGTGGATTTTAGCTATCATATTGATACTGAATGCGTGTTTTTTCACCTCACATGTTTTTGATTTTCTCAAAAATACCTAAAAGCATAAAATTAATCCCTTTTCTTTTAAATGACAAAAGGATGAAACAGATAGAAGTCAAATAATGCTTAAATCTCCGGATATAGATGGAATATAATAATTATGTACATTGTATATCTGTCAATTCAAATTTGGAATGAAGCTGGACTTTCAGGTTCAACGATTAGCCCAGTTTCTCATCAATATCAGACATGGTGCTATTTCAAGCAAGCCTAGAACTTAGTCATCTTGTAGTATCTTCATCTGAGCCCACCAAATAGATTATATTTATTTTTGGGACAAAACCTCAGATTTTAAGGAATTACTATGTCTTGATGGCTCTTTCTATTCGGGAAGTGTCTTTCTCACATATCTCACGTAAAGGTGCCCCTGATCCCATTTTTGATTTTGATGTTATCAGGACAACAAAATGAATCGAATCAATGCTTAGTATCATTTGTGTTATACGTATCTAGTTTGAAGAAAAATTGTTTCCTATTATTCAATAGCTCCTGGACAAGTAAGCAACTTTCAAGTAGTTCGCCCAGATGGTCCAAACTTTATAACAGTGATGGTGTCCTGGGAACTTCCAGCAATATTGGACAGAAATAGTGACATAATCAAATACATGTTCTCACACAACTCTACTGGTGGGGTAAGTTATGTTTGATCATGAGCAATACAGGGCAATCTTTTTGCTTACTTTTCCTTTTTTATTCTTTATTCTCCAAACCTATTTTACTTTGATGAATTTCAGAATATGAATTCAGCTCCAGAAGAAATACTGATCAGTGGTAATATCAAGACTGTCAAGAGGAATCTGGAAGTGGTACCACATAATACATACTACATTGAGGTTAGTATCTTACATTTGGTATTGTGTTTAGATAATATATGAAGGTATTGTACAACAGAATATATACTACCGTGGTTGCAATGTATTTTTGTGTTTACACAACGTCATACACTAGTGTTGATTTCAAAATTCAGATACTGTATTAGCTTGCAGTTTTTACACAATTCAGATTCACACAATTCATTTTGTTATTATCAACATTTCAATGTAAAAAAATAATGAAAAGGTATATTTTATGTATCTCAATATCAATGAGGTATTTTACAGATGTATCTCAATATCAATGATGTATTTTACAGATGTATCTCAATATCAATGATGTATTTTACAGATGTATCTCAATATCAATGAGGTATTTTACAGATGTATCTCAATATCAATGAGGTATTTTACAGATGTATCTCAATATCAATGAGGTATTTTACAGATGTATCTAAATATTAAAGCCCAAATATATATGTATGCAATTTTAGCTAAAAGAAAATTATCTATTTATATATATGTAGTAAAAATTAACTAATTTGAGAAATACGTTATACAAAATCGTGCGTTTGTATAAAAACTGTTGAATTTCACTTTTTGTAAACATGCCTTTATTTTCTTGAGTGAAAGGAAAACAATTTTGTATAAATGGTGGGTCTCTGCCAGGATAGGGTGATAGGGTAGGGCCAGGGGGGGAGGGGGGGGGCAGAGATTCTTCCTGTAGGAATGAATGAAGTTTGCCCAAATTTTGTCTGAATCATCCTTGGGCAGATGGGAAACAGATTTGTTTAAAAAGCTTGGTCTTGACCATATAAGGCAAAAGGGACAGAGCCCGATAGGGGGAAAAGCATTTTATTTAAATTTCTAATATGTACTCCGTCTGTAGTAGTGATTGAATTTAATCCAAATTGGTCAGAAACATCTTTGGGTGTAAAGGTCTTAATTTTGTTAACTGACCTGGTCAAGTAAGCTTATGGTATGCTGCAGCCATTGAAAGACTACACACATACATTCTACCTCTGGTATAATGTCACAAAGAGCGTGCAACATTGCACTTTAGCTATAAAATGTACCTGCAAATCTGATTTTGCAGTTTGGCTACGTGTTTATGTAATAACGGAGTAGAAATTTACACAAATGTTTTTGAATCTTGCCAAATGATGCGTGTATCTCAAAATTACTAACATTGGTTTTACAGGTGCATCTCATGTATCGCGGTATTACTAACATCTGTCTTGTAGGTGTATCTTATGTATCTGAATATTAGTGACATTTGTTTTACAGGTGTATTTCATGTCTCTCAGTACTACTGACATTTGTTTCACAGGTGTCTCATTTATCTGAATATTACTGACATTTGTTTACAGGTGTATCTTGTTTTACAGGTGTGTCTCATTTACCTGAATATTACTGACATTTGTTTACCGGCGTATCTTGTTTTACAGGTGTGTCTCATTTATCTGAATATTACTGACATTTGTTTACAGGTGTATCCTGTTTTACAGGTGTGTTTTATTGATCTGAATATTACTGACATTTGTTTTGCATGTGTATCTTGTTTTACAGGTGTATCTCATGTATCTCAGTACTACTGACATTTGTTTTACAGGTGTATCTCATGTGTCTCAGTACTACTGACATTTGTTTTACAGATGTATCGCATGTATCTCAATAATGTTGACATTTATTTTACAGGTGTATGCCGTAGGTACTGACACAGATGGAATACTCTATATAGGACAAAAAAGCATCAGTATATACTTAGCCCCTATCACTGGTAAGTATCTTAGTGCATATCAGGCTGGTATTGTGGCAAGGAATTCTTTCTTACTCTAATACATTGATAAAATGTACATATAATTAGCATTTTATTACATAAACTATTATATATCGTCATTGTCATTACATCACTTATTATTATATCTAATATTGTTTACAATTGTGTCATGTGTCTTGTGTTTGTCAATGTCCAGTATCTGGTATTGTCCTGTGTATTCGTCTGTGTTTACTGTTGCGTCCAGCGTGTGTCAGAAAGTGAAATGTATGCTTGTGAGATTTTACGTAAAAATGAAGAATGATTCATGTCTACAAGAGAGGAATGTTTAACTGCGGTACTCGTGCCATGCATATATAGTAGTTGACAACAGTAACTCCTTGGTCAACACTGAAATACTTAAATACACACAGTGGATGGTATTTCCGAACTCGTGCGATTCTGTGGATCAAAGGTAAGCGTCTTTACAAACATTTAATTGACTTAAGATGGTTATGTTTAATGCATGATATTATGTTAATGCTCATATACATTTATTCAGTTATCTGCTTTCATTGATGAAACATCTTTAGTTTACCTGGTCTGGACAACAAAGTGAGATACCGCGGTGTCCATCGTTTGTAGGTCGGTCTGCCCGTTAACTTGTTTTATCTTCAGTTCGCTACTCATTGCAAACAGCTAAATGACAATTGATGTTATGTCATTATACATTTACATTACCTGTACAATGATGTTTAAGCTTTCTTGCTTTGTTAACAAAATTTATATTTATACTGTTAAGGCCCTTGTGCCTCTTTTTACCTGTAATGGTGAACTTTGAAGATAAAAACAAGAAAATTACAAAGACTTGCATGCTGTTTATTGTCCTATCATTTATAATTATTTTGCTTCTTTTTAAATAACATGAACACAATTCTGGAATGCTACATAAAAGCATGGAGATGAAGACTGCTTTTGAATTACGTGTGGGATAAAATGACATCAGGTTAGTAAACATATGTATACATTGATTCATTAGTGATCATCCGTCCTTTATTTCTTTATGATATTACTGAAAGCCATCTTTTATCATATAATTCATTTTAACCAGGATTTACGACGCACCTGTCTAACGTATGTATCATTCTCTTTAATGTATTACAGTTGATGGCAGAGAAACAGTTTCTTCAGCAGAAGCAACAGATCCTGTCTACACAGACATGTTTCTCTTCTTTCCTTACTGAACATTTCTGTATGCATACACAGTAAAGAAGGCGTCTCTTTTTAAGGAACCAATAAAATAATTGGTAGGTTTAACTAAGGACATAAACAAGCCTAGTTTCAACTGATAGAAACTGTGCATTTAAATTTCAATCATTTAAACCCACATTATTTTCTATTAAGAACATAGTTGTTGAGGATACAAAATGGCACAATAAATTATGTTATGGTCAATGTTCAGAATCAAAGCGGTTTGACAAATTAACGTTAGACTTCCAATGGTGTTAGATTAGAAAAAAACACCGTTGCTGTATGAACATACATTCTTTGTCATTCAAACAATTGTCAATCACTCACTTCGAGAGCAATCTTTAGTGCCTTTGCGTAGAATTATTCCATTTATGGCAGATTTTCTCTTATTGTCCATGGCCTTTTGGTAAGAAGTATAATGATAGTAATAATATCGTTACACCTGAAAAAACTATCTTCACTTGATGTGTATATTCAGGATGGGCCATTGATGTGTTTTTGACATTTCAGTTTTATTCAAGACGTCTTCCATTTCAAACTTTGACTTTAAAAGTGTATTATCACATTTTCTGAAGGATTTCAAACTAGCTTTTGGCGACTTTTTTAAACATGTATTTCCCACTTTTTCTTTGCTGGAATTCTGTCGATGCTTTCAAAAGAAGGATGAAATCAATCTTAAAGTTCAGCATAAACTGTCTTGGTTGTATGTTTAGCTTGACAAAATTTCAATAAATTTACATCACATCTTAATAAAGCTGATTAAAGAATATGTTAATGAAGTTTTGTTTAGCTAATTTCTCAGAAAAGTATATAGTTAGATTTAATGTACTTATACATGAAAGTAAATGGAATTTATGCCTTAGAAATAAACCCGGCCCAGAGTTTCAATTTGTACGTTTTGAAAGAGCAAAGTACTTTAACATCTATTAACATTTATTTAACCATATGTTTTATATTCATTGCATCCCATTGACTTTCATCCCATTGCTCAACCCAAAAGATGACAGACAAACATTTCTTGCCCACCGGACAGAAATATCCACATTTCCGGTGAAGGTAAGATATCTCCATCTTACCCTGGCCAGACAGCCTGCAAGCACAGGAAGTGACATTTTTGGTTCATGTCATTGTTAATGACGTCATTTTAATGACGTGTCAGTGTAAGTTGGGGTCATTGACATCATGAACAATTGTCATCCGGGCCTCAAATGCAAATGTCTTTACCGGCGGTGTCACATGTATACTTATTTGGTTTTCTATTTTAAGGAGGAAAAGGGGAGAGAAAAGGGATAATTGAGAGTAGGACAGTCTCTATCCTTGGTGGATGTGCTTGATTTCTAACCTGAGACTTTCCATTGGCAGAGATTTCTCTGTCCTACTCTCCAGCTAGTGAGAAATAATATTCTGGATTTTCATCTGAGTGTCCAAAGCTTTATTGATCTCTTCAGTAATTTTCTTATCAGGTATATATCTACATGAAACAATTAACTTGAATATATAAAAACATCGATTAGACTTATTGATTCATTATTTGCCAACACTCTTTTCGATATTTGAAGCCAACATCGGAATCATGAGACAATATAGCTCAATAAATTTATTGTTTGAAAAGGGTAAAAGAAATCAAATCCATTTCTTTAAAGTACCCTTTGCTAACGAAACGATGAAAAGTGCATGAAAAGCCAGGATTTCAGTAATGGGAATTTTAAAATTCAGGAACGTTGTATATTAATTTATCATTATACATTCTGTTTTACTGAGCTATCGGATAAATACTATAATCTCACTTTGAAGCAGGTATCATATATTATAATAGCTTATGAGATCTGTATTTTTTGCCTTGACGTGTTTCTATTTACAAAATACAATAAACAGGGTTGTCTTTGATTAATCTATTTACCACATTATGAACAATACAGGATTTATTCTTTGCCTTTCGCCAATATCATTTATACACTTATGAAATATTTCTTCCGAAACTGTATTCAAACTTTTGAAACTAAATAGATACAACAGATGTGATTGTAAGACACGAATTAGAATTTTCCTCTCAACAGCGCGAATTGGGTAACCTGGTGCAATGACAAATGGTCCTAGACGGAGGAGCCATGAAAAAAAGAAATGACAACAGAGTGTGTATTTGAATGAAATCTGACAAAGCATATCATTCCGAGTATATTTCTACAGAGTAAAAAATAAAAATGTTAAGCTTTATTGTAGTCTTTGGGTTAAAATAAGAACTCAAACGCTGCATAAGGGTTCTCGAGTTTTATTTCGGTGAAATGAAGCCTAAAATTACAATAAGATATAACTAAATCTGATGGACAAGGTAATTGTATGACGTAAATAGATATTGTATACTACCATCTCGTCGAACGTATTTGTATTAAAATGATACAGATATAAATGATTTATACAAATACAATAGTATTCTGGTTAAACTGTGTTACCAGGTCCGCGGGATCCACCTGTCCGTCTCCTTGCCCTATCTTTAGGTGATTAGTGCGGGGTATTGAGATGTGTGGGGGAAATGTGGCAGCGCATGCGCCTATGAGAATACTCAAGATGCATGCACGGTCACAGGTGCTCCCACTTTCTCACTCAGGTAACATATGTACTCACATGGACATACTGGACCCGAATTATGTATTGAGAAACACGCAAAGTACAAATATGTACACATAGTCTACATTATGATCTAGAGATAAATCTCGAATCATGGTTTGGTAACATAAATTCGGAAAAATATATTGAATTATATGAGATGAAAATTTGTGGCCTAGTGATTGCTAGACAGTTTCCGGGTAATAGTTATATGTTTCATGACGATAATGCTCATGTTTATTGCTCGGAATTCACGAATGCATTTATGGATAAGACCAAATAAACACAATAAGGTGGTCGGCAAAGAGTCCCGGTTTAAACATCAGATAAACTTTGTTGTTTATAACTTTAAAAGCTTTTGAACAGTCAGTTGACATAGAATCTACCAAGCAACTATATTAAAACATTGCTTTCATTTGAACCAGTTAAATACTTTCCAAAAACTGTACGGTCGATTCCAGAAAGTATTTCTTCTGTAAGAAAGGTTAGCGGATGCATCTAAAAATATTAGGTAGGTAATATAACATAATATTTCAATCTATAATTCGACATAACTACAATCTTCTTTATTACAGTAAATGAACTGGGTTTTTCATGTAGATGCAAACTGCAAAATGAAGCACAAGTAGCACTATTGACATCGCAATGTCACATTCGTTTTTACTACTTTTGCCCAAAGTCTGTAGCTTTTTACAGTGTTGTATAGTAATGGTAGCAATCTTCATTCGTAGGTTTCATCATGGACAAGAATCGACCACGATTATGAAATATCTGCTTGAAGATATTAAGTAGACTTGGCAAACCACTTAGATGTGAACAAAGCAATGCAGATTTTGTATTTGCTAAGAAAGGTAAGTAATCATATCAAGATTGACGACAGTTCTGTGTATGCATCCTGTAACAATTGCGTACGATTCATATGATCAAATTAATTCTTGTCAATAGTTATCATTGCTAGAAATGCATCGATAAAAGTTTTGTTTTGTATTATAGCTTGACCGAAATTACATCCCAAAGGACTCTAACTGGCAGACCTAGAAGTTTAGAGGTGAAGACATTTTGTTTTCTAAACTCCACACCAGATGTCCATACTTTCCAAAGCGAAGACCTGGTTAATTAACAAATTAATAAAAAATTCATATCAACATATAATAATTTCCTCAATTTGTTTTTCCAGCCTCCGTTGTACGTCCTCGTCAGGATTTGGCAATGGAGGCATCCATTGTAAGTGAAGATGGTGACAGAAGAGAAGCTGTCTAGAAAGCAACAAGAGAAAACAACAACATTTCAGGGACAACTTTTCATTATCTGGGAGCAGTGGAAGTTAAAAAGAAGGATTTTAGTACATTGTTCACATTGCAAGCGATGCACACATTGCCTTTGGAATAGTAATATATATATATATACTGGAGGATACTGGAGGATGGTATATTGTCTGATTACATACCGAACTAAAATGATGTAAAAACAGCATTTTAACTTTTTTTCTTGCTGCTTTTTATTGTGAATTGTTTTAAAACTTAATTATCCTATGTTGTGGCAGATGTGGGGAGCAATGATCAGCTTTACTGTTATTTCTATGTAACCCAATGTGTCCGGTAAACAGACTTGCTTTTTCCTTATCATAATTTATACCAAAGAATCAATAAGTCAATGTTCTCCTCTCAAACTGGACTTTTCGGAGCCTCTCAATTACAGTTAAGGTCACTGTAATCAAAAGGTTCTTACTTCACTAGAGTTGAGGTTACTGAAAAATGTCAATCTTTATTTTGAAATGGAAAGAAACCTTTTGATAAGTGATTAAAAGTTTCGTATGTTTTTCTTACGGTCGAGCCTTTAAAAATGTCTTGATGTCAACATTCATTTAGATTCAAATCTTTGAATGGTATAAGATTTGGACACTAACAGTTGGAAATAACAAAGCATTGAAATGTAGTTACAATATGACAGGAAATTATATAAACAATTCCTCTCCACAGCCCAATTGTTTAACTCTAACAAGAAGATAATAAAAAAAGAAAGAAAATGAGCATATTTTCTTCATTGTAGACAAAATAGATATTCATGGTAGTTACTTTACAAATAAGCAACTTTCAGAAATATGTCAGATACCTTTTAACTTCTTGAATTTAAATAGCCTTGTCAGTGCTATACCTAGAGTTTGGAAGAGACTAATAAAATGTAAAGGGAAAATAATGAAACAATTATCCATAAAAATCTAAAAATCATGAAGAATAACGGAACACCTTTCCCAGATTTTCTACTAAAATAAAGCACTTTTGTCTCCAATGAAAGCAAACCCAGTGAACTCTAATTTTGACATTTCTTCTAATGAATAAAAAAAAACCAGAAGAAGATACAAACTTATCAACATAATCATGATCCAAACTCAATTAAGCAAAACTAGGGCAAAACATGAACAAAAGAAATATTTACACGAAGACTTCTGAAAAAGTACAGGGAGTAAGTGTCTTCTGCTTCATCGACGACACCAGCCACGTACGCCTTGTCAATCCAAGTAAGACACATCCTTAAACTAGAACAAGGTATACAACAACAAAACAAACAGGTAAACTAATGAGCATCAAACACATCCAGCTTCTTATTGCACAAAGAAATAGAATATCTCTCAATGAGATCACTATGACGACCGTAAAACTTCCCCAAAATGTTAACCTACCTCCACCTTTTGAAACCCTTTGTCATGAAATAGTCCGTCAGTTGATGACTTCCTTGCACGAAAATCGTGATAATGGGAACAGGCCATTGAATATGTAGATACTATTATCAATTGACAAAAATACGAAAATATGTATGTGTCAACGTATGTGATGTATGTTTGATGTCAATGATAAGTGACTGACACAGACAAAAGTAACTGAAAAGTATTTCATTTACTTTGATTATTTTACACATGTTACAAACATAAGTGCAATTTTATACCCAGAACTCGGTTTTTAACGTAAACTAATAGGAAAATGTGTTTTCCATCGTCTCAAAATGCTTTATATCTGTATTTCTACTGACATCAACAGCAAACTGTACACAAAAAATCCAATGTTGGATCATGCATCAACAACTGGCTGATGGAGATGAGTTATCGTATACTTGATATATAATGGACATGGTCAATAAATTTGTTATTTTCTCTTTTTAGAACTTTTGAGTAATTTTAAGTTCATGTACTTTGTATCATTTGTATCTTTATATTTCTTGCGTATTTTTTTTTTAATTCCTGGTTGGCTGTGAAGATCACCGAAATTGTTCGGTCTTCTCAACATATTCCTAAAAGAAATAGTTCGAATTAATAACTTATATTCATTAAATAAACTATTTAACATGTTTTAGGAAAGATTGATGTAGACACAACTTTGATAGAGTCGAGTCGTAATAAAGGACATCAACCTCGATACAAAATTAGATCGCGAACTCGAAGTCAAAATGCAATGTCTATAGGAATCATAACTGAACTTCAAAATCCAGACATCAAAGCTCGACAGTCAAAATCCAAGCATAAAACAACATATTTTATACAAATTCAGACTTAAACCTCGAGACAGAATCTATCGTCTATCTTGTACAGGGCCAATCATGAGATGAAAGGTGGACTGGGACGAGAAGTTTGTCTTCCCGGATGTCGTGGAGACAGCATGGTGATGTCATCGCAGCACTCCAAACTCCTCATCGCAACACAGCTAACGGTACCATGCGAAGAAGGTTGCGAGGAGACCCATGAAAGGAAGATAACCAGGTATGACTATATGATTGCGAAGTGTAGAGAGAGGGGATGGACTATATGGCTTTTCCAGTGAACGTGGGCTGCAGAGGGTTACCCATCCAATACTTATGGAAAATGCTGCAGACACTAGGGATCACAGGAAGAGCTCGAAGTGCAGCCATCAGACGTTTGGCAGAAACTGTAGAGAAAGTATCGTGCTAGCTATGGCACCGACGAGACGAGCCAATGTATAAGCCAACAAATACGGTACATAAAGCCCAATTAAAATACAGCTGAGATTTGGTATATTGCGAAACATTTTCTTCAGGTTGGTAATGTCAACGGTCACGGTCACATTTGTCAGACTGGTCATTTTCATGATGAAGGTGACCATTAAGCCATCGAAACGTCACACTCTTATCTTCTACTTGTTGCGTCATAAGAACTATAAGGTGACCGTGTAGTCGTCGAAACGTCACACTCTAATCTTCTATTTGTTGTGTTATAAGATGAAAGTGACGGTGAAGTCATTGAAACGTCACACTCTAATCTTCTATTTGTTGTGTTATAAGATGAAGGTGACGATGTTGTCATCGAAACGTCACACCATAATCGTCTTCTTGTAGCGTTATAAGATTTAAAAGGTGATTGTGTAGTCATCGAAACGTCACTCTAATCTTCTACTTGTTGTGTTATAAAAACGATAAGGTGACGGAGCAGTCATCGAAACGTCACAATCTAATCTTCTACTTGTTGTGTTATAAGAACTATAAGGTGACCGTGTAGTCATCGAAACGTCACGCTCTAATCTTCTACTTGTTGTGTTATAAGAACGATAAGGTGACCGTGTATTCTCCCTCTATTCATAGCCATGTTTCCCGTTTTAGCCGGGAAGGGAAAGATCAGCTTGTCACCCCTTAGTGGGAGGTAGCCTCGTGCCGATTATCACATGCTAGACCGGAATTTCGACCGGAACTACTTCTGGATTGTAAACAAACATCGTCTAGTTATCGGTATCCTAAAGCAAATCCAATTTTTGTTGACGTCGTGGCGAAAATAATGGAGTTGGGGGAAATAATAATCTCTTACCCTGAGAGGGTGTGACAGAAAAATCTCCAACCCTCGGGCCGATTTTTTGTAGTCTCATCCTCGGTAGAGACTCGGGTTAGACAACAAAAATAACACCCCACTGGTTGGAGATTTCTCTATCACACCCTAAGGGTAGGGGAAGATTCTATTAGTCATCGAAACGTCATACTCTAATCTTCTACTTGTTGTGTATAAGAACTATAGGTGACCATGTAGTCATCGAAACGTCACACACTAATCCTTTTTCTGGTTGTGTATAAGAACTTCTGATCTATTGTTAGTTTACTTTGTTTTGGTATTGATTTACGTCCTACAAACAGCCAGGGTAATATTAGGACATACCAGGTTTGGTGTGGTTTGTTATTGCTTTACGTCCTACTAACAGCCAAGGTCATATCAGCACGTGCCAGGTTTGGTGTGGTTTGTTATTGTTTTACGTCCTACGAACAGCCAGGGTCATATTAGGACGTGCCAGGTTTAGTGTCGTTCATTGTTGCTTTACGTCCTGCTAACAGCCAGAGTCATATTAGGACGTGCCAGGTTTGGTGTGGTTTGTTATTGCTTTACGTCCTGCTAACAGCCAGGGTCATATTAGGACGTGCCAAGTTTAGTGTCGTTCATTGTTGCTTTACGTCCTGCTAACAGCCAGGGTCATATTAGGACGTGCCAGGTTTGGTGTGGTTTGTTATTGCTTTACGTTCTGCTAACAGCCAGGGTCATATTAGGACATGCCAGGTTTGGGTGTCGGAAAAAAAAATCCCGGAAAAAAACACCACCCTGCACCCAGTACTTACCTGTTCCACGAAAGTCTCGAGCCCGCGAAGTGGAGGGCTAACGACGCTCAGATGCCTAGATCATTTGACCATTGCTTTCAATGTTTATTTAAGTCAATCAAATCATCTTCTCGAAATCATCTTGATTTAAACATCGCAATGTTGTAGTGTAGTATGTATAACACTTGGTATATTACTACCATGTTGCGTATCTTGATAACATATATATATTTATTAGTATGCATGTGGTGCAATGTGGTTTAAACTAAAAGGAATGCAAACCTTTTGGTACTTAACTGATATCTAAGATTTTCTAGCAGCTCTATCGACTGTTTACCTCTATTACATAAGATGTACGATATCATAAATACCAACATTACGTGATATTCATTTAAAAGGGATAGGTGAAAATAAACCAGGAAGTATGTTTAACAAATTTATTTTTATTCAAAACCGGTTATAGTCTCTGCTGATATTACATCTGGCGATTTGACTTTTGTTTACCAAAGCAGGTAAGACGTAAGCCTTCCAATCAAAACACATTACCGTGTAATTCATGTTATAACAGCGTAGAGCATTCTAAACCGAGGCAACCAAATTTTGAACATCAGCACTAGTTAAACGTCATTCCTTGAAAAAAAAAGGGGGGGGGATGGGGTTAAATATGTCGGTATTCTCTTGCTGTACCCGATGAAAGATATGTCTATTTGTTTATGAGTGACATGCAAATCGCCTGAACTGTAGTCTACTTATCATGTAGGTGGGAAATCGTGGTAAGATTTTGTTTTAAATTTTTTAGCGCTTACTCCACTCTATTCTATTTCTTGGCGTTAAGTGACTGAGGAAACTACACATTATTTTATTCGAAGAAAAAGTCAAACAACACCATACTTACGGTAAACTTCCCTGTTTTCACAACATGGATGTATTTGAAATAATAAAGGCGTTTATATAAAAAGGCATGTGTGTTTGATTTCATCTAATTCTATACTTCCTGGTTATTGTTAGGGTTTGTAATACGTCATATGTATACTGAGAGAAAGTTAAACCTTTATATCGCACCACACGCCTGCTTATTACCTAGTATCCCGAGAATTAATGGGACCATCGGATCACGTGGGTGATGGTTGTGTGTGCCCATGAAATGGATTTTCCATCCAAACACACTCTGTATTATTTACTTACACAGTTATTTAAATATTACTGCCGAAGTCATTCCTCGCTACAAAACGTACATTACTTGTATTGTACTTAAGTTTAAATGACGACCTAAGAAATAAGAGATGTGCGCTATCTGTTTTATTCTCCTGTTACTTTGTCTCCATGGTGTCGCGTGTGCATTACGGTTTGGGCTACCCCTCGATATGTCCTTGTTATTAAGAATACTCAATAATAAGTATACTCATATGCAAGATGTAAGTAGTGGTACAGACTACACATATACCTAGTGTAAAAGCAAGCAAA